TGTAAAAATATATATTGTTGTCCGGAGAACGTGTCTGGCCCCGTCCCCCTTCCTGCTGCCAGGAGGAAGAAGAATCATCGTGTGCTCATCCTTTGTTTTATTTGTGGAGTGTGCCTACAAAACGAGTTACTTCGTAGAATTTAGTCGTATGGAAATAGATATGATGTGAAATTTATAGCAGGTGTTTGTACAATTTAAAAGTATGACATAATGTAAAATTTGTAAATTTGACCCTGGTGTCGGTTTCAATCGATATCTTCTTTTGTGGATTGCGAGAAATAATGGATTTTGTCCGCACACCGCATATTTGTTGTTTTAGTTATTAGTTTTACGGTGCTCGCGACATAGGGTCTTATACTGCCGAAATACAGATGTGTTGCAAACGATTAACAAACACAAGAAAGAGAAGGGGGGATGATAAGGGCGACATAATAATATGTTTGATGGAAAAGAAGGAGCAAACCACAGCGGAGCACCTGCCAACCACAAACAGAATCGTCCCCAATGCAGACAGATAGATAAGGGTGGTTGAAGTTCACCCAATAAATCAGGGGCCTGTGGGAATTCGTATCACTTCAGAACAGGAAGGAAAATACAAGCAAAATATCAGCAATGTGTTCAGAAAATTGTTGCCTGTGGGAATTGGGAATATCAGTTTGTCTGGAGCTGCGTGGCGTCACCTTTTTAAATTTTATTTATTTAGTAGAGGTTTTACAAGGCTCGCAACTGCATAAAGTCTTATGAGCGCCAAGGGGTGGATGTCAACAGAGAGGTCATTACAGGGAATCAGACTTACTCTGCTAACCTATCTAGCTTCAACAGCACAAAGTCTGCTTCGACTATCAAGGCACGCCGGAAATAGCGGGTCACAAGAGTGTGACAAACATACAAAAGAAGTAGAGGGAAAAAAACGACGATAGTAAGGATTAAGAAAGACAAAGCAGCAGTTCCCTGTTGCAGTTCAGGCACACTTATGAGCATGACATTTTTGGATCGGCCTTTTCACAATTTTACTGTGCATAAGAACATGTTAATGCCCCTCCTTTGGGCAAAGACACTTCAGTCTGTGACCCCGCCTCGGGGGGTATGTGGCGTGACCGTATGGCTTACCTGTCTCAAAGATAATATTATAAGGGGTCTTTTTCTTTATCTGTTTGTTGGTTTGTTTTGTTGTTGTTGTTGTTGTTGTTGTTGTTGTTTTTCATTTTTGGGGATGTGGGGTTGGGGTAACTATAACAACAACAACAACAACAGTAAAAACAACAGCAACAACAAGAACAACATCAACAACAGCAACAGCTACAACAACAATAACAACAACAACAGCAACAACAGCAACGGCAACAGCTACAACAACAATAACAACAACAACAGCAACAACAGCAACGGCAACAGCTACAACAACAATAACAACAACAACAGCAACAACAGCAACAGCATCAGCAACCAACAACAACAACAGCTAAACGTGCGTGTGCTGCTGGATCCAAGAATGATTATCTCTGACCGCTACTCAGAAAAAGGAATTACATTGTACGCTGAACATGCGAAGTGTTATCCCCCCC